GGAGTGTTAAAAACACTGGCCACAGTCCAGCGGGAATTTTCTGGGCAGGCATGGCCAGGGATGCGCACAGCGGAACCTCCCGGTCAAGCCCTGTTGTCCGCCCTTACAATCGATTCGAGTCTCCCGCATCAATGAGCTCGTCGTCTTAGATATCCTGGGGCCCTTTCCTGCCACCCCGCGGGGTAATAAATTCTTGCTGGTGGGGGTTGAGTATTCTTTACGGTGGCCCATGGGCCTGGCCTTTCCCCAAATCAGTCAGCTGCAGTCATCACGGATGCCTTCCTAAATGGGTACGTCATGGACAAGGGGGCCCCCGATCGTCTGCTGACGGACCAAGGGAGAAATTTTTCCTCAAAATTGCTGCGGGATTTGTGCGATTTGCTGGGCACACAGAAAATTCGAACGTCACCATATCACCCCCAAACGGATGGGATGGTTGAGCGTCTGCACAGAACGCTCACTGCTATGCTCAGCCACCAGGTCAGCGACTCTCAGCTAGACTGGGACTTGCACATTCCGGGCGTGTTGGCGGCGTACCATATGGCCCCTCGTGCGTCCACCAGTTATTCTCCATTCTTTCTGATGTATGGCAGGGATCACGACCCCCCTATCGACGTTCAGCTACATATTGCACCGTCTAAACCTGCATCCAAAATTTCTGATTCAGTTCGCTTTAAAATACAGAAGCTGTCCGAGGCATGGGAGGCTTCTAGGCTAAATTCTAATTCACGCCAATTGGCTAATGAACGTCATCAGGCCTGGCGTACCTCTCGCCATGTGTGGTATGCCGGCGACGAGGCGTGGCTCCACTGCCCTCAGGTTCCTGTGGGGACGTCGCCGAAATTTTTCCGGCCTTGGCGGGGGCGTGTGGTGATTGTCCGTGTTGTCTGGCTGCAATGCGTGCAAATTCACTAGGGACGCCGGTGCTGGTTTGTCCACCCGTCGCGCCTCAAGCCCTTCATTGCATCGCGGAATCCCGTCTCATCTCCACAATGCCAGGGCCGAGTGTGTGATGTGTCCGACGCGCCTGGGTGTGTGCCTGCTGGGGTGGACTCTCAGCTGAAGTCTGTACCTTCACCCTCAGATGCCACGCAACTAACACCCCTCCAGGCGCCGCCGTATTTTACTTCCCCGGCTCCGACCGCCGGGAGCTCCTCTGCCCTGCCCCCCGCAAAACCGGCTGCTGCGCCGTACGTGCCAGTCCCCCCTGGCTCCTCCGGGACGAGTGGCCTGCCTCCACACGAGGACTCAGTCCAAAACGATTTATTTCTCATGACCCCCCCCCCCCCCCACCTAGTCACACGCACCCCCCACACTGTTCATTCAGTACCTCACTCATCGGGCCATTTTTGCCTTGCCTTTATTGTTTTCATGTGATGGTCCACGGTGTTGGTGACGTTGGTTTATGGGGTGTGGGGTCATGTGCTTTGCGCGTTTGTTCTGTTCCCTTACCCCATGTTATTGCGTGTATATTTGTATATAGCGCACATTTGTACAGGTGGGCTGGGGTATTTATTGCGGGGTTTTTTTGTGGTTCATGTTGAGGCGCGCATTGTAGTCTTATAGCGGTTATGAGTTGCATATTTCGAGGGGGGTGGGGGGGCGATGTAGTGGCATCAGGGGATGCCACTGCATTCCACGTTAGGCCGGCCCGTGTGTGGAGCACGGGGCATGCTGCTCACACCACCTACAGCACGGCAGTTGTGCAACGTGCACTCCGTGTTCAGTGTCAGCCCTTGGAGGCTAGGGGGCGAGAGGGCCGGGAGCGACGCAGGGGTGACAGGGGGCCATGGCACTCCGGATGAACTCGGAGGGCTAGTTGCCAGAGGCACTGGGGGTGGGGCCCCCAAAGAAGGGGGCTAGGGGACCCCGGGACCGGTTCCAGGGGCCTCTGGAAAGGTCGAGAAGCGAGGCGTGCCTAGGGGCGGGGGAAGCTCCGAGACTGGGGATATAAGCCGGACCCCTGAACGGGTCTGGTGGTTGTTGCTGGTCTGAAGACCCGAAGACGTCCTCCTGAAGAAGAAGCCCCAGGGTCAAAACCAGGACTCGAGTCGGAGTCTGGCTTAACGACTTCCCCTCCCCAGTCACGTTAGGGCTAGTTAGTTCGGAGGGACTACCTCGCCAGTTACCTGGTGAAAGCGGCAGTTACTTCTTGTGTTAGCAAATGTTGTTATAATAAACGTGTTGCCTCCAAGAAGCCTCACTCTCCCTCTGTACCCACTACATTTGCGAGACTGGCTGTTTGCGAGACTGCCTGTGAGACTGGCTGTTTGTGTGACTGGGTGATTCTTTGCCTGACTGTTTGTGAGATTGGCTCTTTGCGAGACTGGCTGCTTGCGTGACTGGCTGTTTGCCAGACTAGCTGTGTGTGTGACTGGCCGTGTGTGAGACTGGCTGCTTGCGTGACTGACTGTTTGCTAGACTAGCTGTTTGTGTGACTCGCCGTGTGTGAGACTGGCTGTTTGTGAGACTGGCTGTTTGTGCCCTTGACTGTTTGTGAGACTTGCTGTGAGGCTGGCCGTGCATGAGACTGGCTGTTTGCAATAATGGCTATTTGTGAGACTGGCTATTTGCGAGACTGGCTGTTTGCGAGAATGGCTGTTTGCAAGACTAGCTGTTTGTAAGACTGGCTGTTTGCGAGACTGGCTGTTTCAGGACTGGCTGTTTGTGGGACTATCTGTGTGTGAGACTGGCTGTGTGTGAGACTGGCTGTTTGTGAGACTGGCTGTTGGCGAGATTGGCAGTTTGTGAGACTGGCTGTTTGTGAGACTGACTGTGTGTGAGACTGGCTGTTTGTGAGACTGGCTGTTTGTGAGACTGGCTGTTTGTGAGATTGGCTGTTTGTGAGACTGGCTGTTTGTGAGACTGCTTGTTTGTGAGACTGGCTGTTTGTGAGACTGGCTGTTTGCGAGATTGGCTGTTTGTGAGACTGGCTGTTTGTGAGACTGGCTGTTTGTGAGACTGGCTATTTGTGAGACTGGCTGTTTGTGAGACTGGCTGTTTGTGAGACTGCTTGTTTGTTAGACTGGCTGTTTGTGAGACTAGCTGTTTGTGAGACTGGTTGTTTGTGAGACTGGTTGTTTGTGAGACTGGCCGTCTGTCTGACTGGCTGTTTGTGTGATTGATTGCTGGCTGTTTCTGAGACTTGCTCTTTGCGAGACTGGCTGTTTGTGAGACTGGCTGTTTGTGAGACTGGCTGTTTGCGAGATTGGCTGTTTGTGAGACTGGCTGTTTGTGAGACTGGCTGTTTGTGACACTGGCTGTTTGTGACACTGGCTGTTTGTGGGACTGGCTGTTTGCGAGATTGGCTGTTTGTGAGACTGGCTGTTTGCAAGACTAGCTGTTTGTAAGACTGGCTGTTTGCGAGACTGGCTGTTTCAGCACTGGCTGTTTGGGGGACTATCTGTGTGTGAGACTGGCTGTGTGTGAGACTGGCTGTTTGTGAGACTGGCTGTTGGCGAGATTGGCAGTTTGTGAGACTGGCTGTTTGGGAGACTGACTGTGTGTGAGACTGACTGTTTGTGAGACTGGCTGTTTGTGAGACTGGCTGTTTGTGAGATTGGCTGTTTGTGAGATTGGCTGTTTGTGAGACTGGCTGTTTGTGAGACTGCTTGTTTGTGAGACTGGCTGTTTGTGAGACTGGCTGTTTGCGAGATTGGCTGTTTGTGAGACTGACTGTTTGTGAGACTGGCTGTTTGTGAGACTGGCTGTTTGTGAGACTGGCTGTTTGCGAGATTGGCTGTTTGTGAGACTGGCTGTTTGTGAGACTGGCTGTTTGTGAGACTGGCTATTTGTGAGACTGGCTGTTTGTGAGACTGGCTGTTTGTGTGACTGGCTGTTTGTGAGACTGGCTGTTTGTGAGACTGCTTGTTTGTTAGACTGGCTGTTTGTGAGACTAGCTGTTTGTGAGACTGGTTGTTTGTGAGACTGGTTGTTTGTGAGACTGGCCGTCTGTCTGACTGGCTGTTTGTGTGATTGATTGCTGGCTGTTTCTGAGACTTGCTCTTTGCGAGACTGGCTGTTTGTGAGACTGGCTGTTTGTGAGACTGGCTGTTTGCGAGATTGGCTGTTTGCGAGACTGGCTGTTTGTGAGACTGGCTGTTTGTGTGACTGGCTGTATGCGAGACTGGCTGTTTGTGACACTAGCTGTTTGTGAGACTGGCTGTTTGTGAGACTGGCTGTTTGTTAAACTGGCTGTTTGTGAGACTGGCTGTTTGGGAGACTGGCTGTTTGCGAGACTGGCTGTGTGTGAGACTGGCTGTTTGTGAGACTGGCTGTTGGCGAGATTGGCTGTTTGTGAGACTGGCTGTTTGTGAGACTGGCTGTTTGTGACACTGGCTGTTTGTGAGACTGGCTGTTTGTGAGACTGGCTGTGTGTGAGACTGGCTGTTTGTGAGACTGGCTGTTTGTGAGACTGGCTGTTTGTGACACTGGCTGTTTGTGAGACTGGCTGTTTGTGAGACTGGCTGTTTGTGAGACTGGCTGTTTGTGACACTGGCTGTTTGCGAGACTGGCTGTTTGCGAGACTGGCTGTGTGTGAGACTGGCTGTTTGTGTGATTGGCTGTTTGCGAGATTGGCTGTTTGTGAGACTGGCTGTTTGTGAGACTGGTTGTTTGTGTGACTGGCTGTTTGTGAGACTGGCTGTTTGTGAGACTGGCTGTGTGTGAGACTGGCTGTTTGCGATACTGGCTGATTGCGAGATTGGCTGTTTGTGAGACTGGCTGTTTGCGAGACTGGCTGTTTGTGAGACTGGCTGTTTGCGAGACTGGCTGTTTGTGAGACTGGCTCTTTGTGTGACTGGCTGTTTGTGAGACTGGCTGTTTGTGAGATTGGCTGTTTGTGAGACTGGCTGTTTGTGAGACTGGCTCTTTGTGTGACTGGCTGTTTTTGTGACTGGCTGTTTGTGAGACTGGCTGTTTGCGAGACTGGCTGTTTGTGAGACTGGCTGTTTGTGTGGTTGGATCTGCTGCTCGTGTCCCACGCCTTCTCTTTGTTTCAGGTTTTTCTCAAGGAAGGAACTCTGTTTAAGCTGTGCCGGAAAGCGCTCCAGTCTCGCATGTTTTTCTTGGTAACGCCCAGCTTCCCCTGCACACACACACACAGATACACGCACACACACACATACGTGAGCTCATATACACAAACACATAGAGATACACACACAGATACACGCACACACACACATACGTGAGCTCATATACACAAACACATAGAGATAAACACACACACACACACTCTGTGTCACGTCGTTACTCTGTGTCACGTGGTTACTCTGTGTCGTTACTCTGTGTCACGTGGTTACTGTCACGTCGTTACTCTTTGTCGTGTCGTTACTCTGTGTCACGTCGTTACTCTGTGTCACGTCGTTACTCTGTGTCACGTGGTTACTCTTTGTCGTGTCGTTACTCTGTGTCACGTCGTTACTCTGTGTCACGTCGTTACTCTGTGTCACGTGGTTACTCTGTGTCACGTGGTTATTCTGTGTCACGTCGTTACACTGTGTCACGTCGTTACTCTGTGTCACGTCGTTACTCTGTGTCACGTCGTTACTCTGTGTCACGTCGTTACTCTGTGTGTCACGTCGTTACTCTGTGTCGTGTCGTTACTCTGTGTCACGTGGTTACTCTGTGTCACGTGGTTATTCTGTGTCACGTCGTTACACTGTGTCACGTCGTTACTCTGTGTCACGTCGTTACTCTGTGTCACGTCGTTACTCTGTGTCACGTCGTTACTCTGTGTCACGTCGTTACTCTGTGTGTCACGTCGTTACTCTGTGTCGTGTCGTTACTCTGTGTCACGTGGCTACTCTGTGTCGTTACTCTGTGTCACGTTGTTACTCTGTGTCACGTCGTTACTCTGTGTCACGTGGTTACTCTGTGTCACGTGGCTACTCTGTGTCACGTCGTTACTGTGTCACGTAGTTACTCTGTGTCACGTGATTACTCTGTGTCGCGTCGTTACTCTGTGTCACGTCGTTACTCTGTGTCGCGTCGTTACTCTGTGTCACGTGATTACTCTGTGTCGCGTCGTTACTCTGTGTCACGTCGTTACTCTGTGTCGCGTCGTTACTCTGTGTCGCGTCGTTACTCTGTGTCGTTACTCTGTGTCACGTGGTTACTCTGTGTCACGTCGTTGCTCTGTTTCACGTCGTTACTCTGTGTCACGTGGTTACTCTGTGTCACGTCGTTACTCTGTGTCACGTGATTACTCTGTGTCACGTCGTTACTCTGTGTGTCACGTGGTTACTCTGTGTCACGTGGTTACTCTGTGTCGTTACTCTGTGTCGTTACTCTGTGTCGTGTCGTTACTCTGTGTCACGTCGTTACTCTGTGTCACGTGGTTACTCTGTGTCACGTCGTTACTCTGTGTCACGTGGTTTCTCTGTGTCACGTCGTTACTCTGTGTCACGTGGTTACTCTGTGTCACGTCGTTACTCTGTGTCACGTGGTTTCTCTGTGTCACGTCGTTACTGTGTGTCGTTACTCTGTGTCACGTCGTTACTCTGTGTCACGTCGTTACTCTGTGTCACGTGGTTACTCTGTGTCGCGTCGTTACTCTGTGTCACGTGGTTACTCTGTGTCACGTGGTTACTCTGTGTCACGTGGTTACTCTGTGTCACGTCGTTACTCTGTCGTTACTCTGTGTCACGTGGTTACTCTGTGTCACGTGGTTACTCTGTGTCACGTCGTTACTCTGTGTCACGTGGTTACTCTGTGTCGTGTCGTTACTCTGTGTCACGTGGTTACTCTGTGTCGTGGGTGCTGGATTGGTGCTTCATTACGTTTTAAACATTTTGCGTTCAGCTGCAATTACCAGTCATGCGGAATATCATGCAGTAGACTCTGAGAAAGTGTGTACAATAACATAGTGCACCATACCTTGTTGTGCTGGACAGGGCGCGCTCTGTCTGACAACCCAGCAGCATTTTGTTTAAAAAATCTGCTGATGAGACCCAAAATGTCAAAACAAATCCTGCTGCGTAATGCACCTTAGGTGATGGACGACAAACTTGTAGTATTTTTTATAACAGCAAAAAATACGATTGATTGAGCGATGGCTGCTCAACCAGTAACCGTTCTCTGCGAAGGCCACGTCGATGCACGCGTGCCGGAGTTGACATTCCGAGTCGTGAACGTTGAATCCGTTGGGTCACTCGACCTCTCCAGCCAAAAAAACTGACCTCCATATTCACGGCAGTGTAAATAAGAACCCGCTCTTGAATTGACCCTTGACCCTGAATGACGTCACAACAATTAAATAACTGGATGGGGGAGGTGATTCGTTACAATTCCACTTTGTACTATCATCGACAACATCTGTAAACGTTTTCTTCATTTTCATTCCATGTAAATCATCATCGTCAGGAGCAGCAGCATGTGCTGCATTAGCTGCGTGCTCTTGTACACCGACGCAGGTACGGCCGCTGAACTCTTTTGTTACGCTGGGGGGAGGGTGGTGTGCACTGCTGGGCCTTGACTGTAACCGCATGCCCCCTACCCCCTTCAACTTCTACCCCCTGATCTCGCCGCCCTCCCCTCCCCCCACCACGGCACGGTGCTGAGCAGATGAACGACGCTCTTCTGTACGCCACAGCCCAGCCGAGCGGGCGCGTGAAACTCAACAGCGAGATCTGCCTGGGCAGCCTGCAGGTGTGGCCAGCGCTCACAACCGGGGCTTTTGACGCCGAGGCCATCGTCGATCAGTGCTCGCCGAGCTGCATTGCCTTCGGGCTACCGAACGAATACTTTCTAAGGTCGCACTCTTTACACACAAAGTGCTTGTCACAAATGAACCCAAACACCTCGCTGGTCTCGTCAAGGAGCATGAACCATGACGAGAGCTCCGGTCACCCTCGCCCCATCGCGCGCTCTTTTGATGCGCTTCTGCGGGCGTCTGGAACGCTCTTCTGATATTAGGAAGCCACCGGAGCTATACACTTTTTTATGATCTAGATTGAAGACTGATTTCTTTAAAAATGCTTTTTGTGTTTAGTTCGTTGTCCTTCCCCGGCACCTCCAATACGCGCGGTCGGCTACGTCCCATTTGAAAGAAGTTAAACGTACATACAAACGTACGTCTATCCACTTGTGGACGGAGGCCTCTCCACACTTGTCGCTCTCCTTCACGGTCCTGCGATGCCATAATCCATCGGCTGCACATGAGGGCTGATTTCATTGACGCATATCCACGGTCGTTGTTGTCACGGACTCGTTCTCTCTCTTTCTCTCCTCGTGTTGTAATGTCATCACCGGTCTTATCCATCGGCCGTTATCCCTTCTCGAGACTTGGATTCTGTCCTAATGCGGTAAAACTCGGTTCAGCCGGATCTTAGCGAGCCGGATTTCACGTTGAGCTGCACCAGGTTGGCTAAATAATAAAATAATCCGTGCATCTTCCACGCAAGTCTGCGCCTCCTCCCTTAAGCATGGGCAGAACTTAACGATGAAAAAAAAAATCGGCGTTACCCTCTCCGACAATAATACACAGGAGTTGTGTTAAGATGTTCAAACACCAAATAGACACACCGCCTATCGCAAGGCATCGTCAAGTCCCGCGTCAACCACACATCACGCTTGTGATAAAAAAACATGCAAAGCAAACGCCCTCTGCTGATGACGTACACCGCGATTTCTTTGGAACCGATTGGCCTTCAGTAGAGACGGCCTCCTTCATGGCCTCGTTCCTGCACCGGTGTTAGCCCAGAGAACGTCAACCAACGAAGGCGAATGGCAGAAAGGCAACGCCTTTTGAACGTGTCTGAACACCTCCTGTATTATTTAAAGGCTGGTTTTATTGTTTTATAATTTTGATACCGGCAAAAAGGGCAGCACTTATGTTGGTGGTGCGAGATAGGGGATGAAAGGGGAGGACGATAGGAGATAGAGCAGAGGGGTGGTGGGCGGTGGGTGACCAATGCACACAACCAATGGAAGTTATCATTATTTTACTATCGATATAGTTATTATTTTCAGGAGTGTCCTATCGCGGACCGTGCTTTACCCCACTTATTATTTATTATTACGCAATTTTCTTCCGAAACACGGTGGCCTTCGGGAAGGCAACTTCTACCGCTGTTACAGGAGAACAAGACTCTAATTTGTGGGGGGGAGGGGGGGGGGGCAGCACACAATGGGCCCCACGGGATCTTTAACGTCCACTGAGACACCGCCGGTTGTACCGCTCGCACAGCGCTCGCCGGCACGCAGCCTTGCCAGGGCCGCCCAGAGGTGCCGAGAGGCCCTGGGGCAGAATGCCTATGTGGGGGGGGGGGGGGTGATGGGGGGGTGGAGGGGGGGGCCCTATTTTTACCATCCACAGGTTCCGTTGCAGGGCCCTCTTGTGTGAAGCTTAGGGAAAGTTGACCCTCTTGCTCCCCCCACCCCCACCTCCAAGTGCAGCAGTTTGCTGCATGGTCACGGTACAGCACGGGCGTGGAGAGAGCGCCAGCGTTCATTGTATGTGTGTGTGTGTACGTTGAACTTCTTTTGCACGGTACGTAGCCGACCGTGCTAATCGGAAGTGCGGAGAGGGCATGCGCCGGGGCCTTGCGGTGCGTACGCACACCGGACTCGAGCGAACTCGTGCCTGCGTGCGTGCGTGTGTGCGTGTGTGTGTGCGTGCGTGTGTGCGTGTGTGTGTGCGTGTGTGCGTGCGTGCGTGTGTGCGTGTGTGTGTGCGTGTGTGAATACAGGCGAGCAAGCCAGCGGTGGAGACGCTCGCCAACGAGCTACACTTTACGACTCCCGAGAAGACGTTCATTCTGTCGGCAAGGTGGGGCAGATGCCCCCAGGCACGGCCATCACGTCCACGACGATCGTACTCTACCCACGCTCTGCACGTATCATCGATGACAAAATATTACAGGCACACGTTGCAGGCAGTGGCACATTTTTTTCAGGCTGGAGAGGAGACGATTAGACAAGACCGACTTTTTACTTTTGAACGTTTTTATTGCGACGAGACGCAAGCCCGGTACAATATGTGCCGGATCGATATTGGAGGGGGACAGATACTCCGCAAGAATTTAGAATTTGGTTCGAAGACATCGTATGTACATGGGGGAAACAAGAGACCTCACGATTGCTTGTGTTGCGATCGAAACATCGTGATCTATTATTTTTCTACCTACGTGAATTATGATTGTGTTGATTGCTGTGTGCATGTGTCTTTGTATGTGGGGAGCGGTAGTGTAGCGGTTAGCGCCCTGCGCTCTGAACCCGGTCACCCGGGTTTGATTCCCGCTCACAGCTTCCACCGGTGACGATTATCTGAACCGGTTCTGGGCCTCCCTTAGGTCGACTCAGCCTTCAATGAGTACCTGGTGCGGTGTGTGAACATCGCCACTGGGGAGACAAAAGAGATCGGACATGGTGCTGGCCACCCACCCCCTCGTGTGCCATTCTGGCCTTCGTAGATGCTTGCTAACAGCACTTGCCCCTACGGTCTGTTAAGACTATGCGGGGGACCTTTGTCTTTTGTTTGTGTGTGTGTGTGAGCAGCTCTCCAGAGGAGCGGGACGCATGGCTCCTCATCGTGTCTAACGCTGTGGAGGACTTCAAGCGTAAGCGCTCGACTTTTCGCAGTGTGGGGCAGGTGAGAGTGCTGCTGCTGCTCACCTCATCAACAAACGAAACTAAAACTACTTATTTTTATTTACCAGGTAAGGCCCACTGAGCTATGTAGCTTATTTTTCAGAAGCGACAAAGTGGCTTATCGAGTGGAAATTTATGGCGGACAAATACTCCAAATGCGTGATGTTGATTCTGCATGTGGGGGAAAAAAACGGAGGACCCAGAGAAAAATCCACGCGAACACGGGGAGAGAGACACGCAAACTCCAAATATACAGCAGCAGGCGTCAGGTTCGCGATCGAACGCAAGACCTCCTGCATACCAGGCGAGGTAGTTAACATCTCGCCACCGTGGCACTTAGGGAGCAGCCGATGGCCCGCGGTTGGTATTTTGACTGTCCTCGTACGCGACCTCGTCACTGGCCGTGTCTCGAGCAGCCCTCTTTCAACGCGGTGCCGTCGGCCATAGAGGCAAACGGCGAATCTGGAGTAGGAGAGTAACGCGCCGGTAATGTCTACCACTGAGAGTCGGCGTCGCGGCTCGCAGATCGCGACTCTGTGCCAACTGCTCGATGTACACCGGGTGGCTGCGCTGCAGCAGCACGTACGACAACTCCAGCAACAGCAGAACGCACAGCAGCAGCACGCACGGCAACTCCAGCAACAGCAGAAGGCACAGCAGCAGCAGCACGGCAACTCCAGCAACAGCAGAACACACAGCAGCAGCACGCACAGCAACTCCAGCAACAGCAGAACGCACAGCAGCAGCACGCACGGCAACTCCAGCAACAGCAGAACGCACAGCAGCAGCATGCACGGCAACTCCAGCAACAGCAGAAGGCACAGCAGCAGCAGCACGCACGACAACTCCAGAAACAGGAGAACGCACAGCAGCAGCACGCACAACTCCAGCAACAGCAAAAGGCACAGCAGCAGCACACACGGCAACTCCAGCAACAGCAGAACGCACAGCAGCAGCACGCACGGCAACTCCAGCAACAGCAGAACGCACAGCAGCAGCAGCACGCACAGCAACTCCAGAAAGAGGAGAATGCGCAGCAGCAACAGTCCAGGTTACAAATCTTGATATGGTTTCAGATTCTCCAGATATACTCCAGGCTTTGTCAGGCATAGTAGGGCTTACACGTACTGGATGTATGGCGCTACGGTGGCGATATGTGAACTACCTTGCCTGGTATGAAGGAGGTTGTGGGTTCGATCCCGACGCTGACACCTGCTCTATATTTGGAGTTTGCGTGTCTCTCGCTCTCACCCCATGATCGCGTGGATTTTTCTCTGGGTCCTGCGGTTTTTCCCTCCACATTTAGAATCAACATCACTCGTTTAGAGTATTTGGCTGCTATACATTTCCACGTGATAAGCCACTTCCTGGAGCTATCATTTGTGGCCAAGTAACTTCTGAAAAAGTGCCACATTGCTCAGTTGGGGCCTTGATAAAAATCGAAATAGTTTATGTATGCATGTTGAACTTCTTTCGCACCAGACGCAGCCAACCATGTTACCGGTAACATTTACCACCCACGTCACCTTCCCACTCCTCATTGTCGTTCGCAACGAACTGGCGACGATGTCGCACGTGCCTGTCGCGTTTGATTAGGGGTGAAATATATATTATTTGGCTCTTTCGGTGAAGTCACGTTGATAGATTTAAAGCATTACAAAAAACTACGACGTTTCGATCGCAACACAAGCGACCACCCTCTGTTTTTCTCCACCTGATGACGATTGCTGGCGTTGCGATCGAAACGTCGTAGTTTTTTGTAATTTTTTTAACCTATCTATGTGACTTTACCGAAAGACTCAAAGAATATGAATTCCTGCAGTCAGGAAAGCTTTAAGTCGTGAAATATATATATTTTTAAGAAAATGTTTAATTTATTGAGGTACGTGCCCACAAATCCGGTAGAATGTGCCGGGGCTTTCAGGGGAGGAGGGGGGGGACAGAAAAACCGCGAGGGGGAAGGATGCGGGGGGGGGGGGTGCTCACCGAGAGCGGTGGGGAGGGGGGCGGGGGGGTTCCCTGGTGGGGCAGGGGGGGTTTGATAATAGGGGGGGGAAGGGGGACAGACAATCACCAATATTCTAGGGGTAGATCGTGTGTGGGGAGGGAGTGAAGAATGGACACACGACAAATCATATTGCTTCATGAGATGGGGTTACAGACCTGTCCTCCATCCCGGGCCCATCAGCTCTCAACTGACCAAGGGAAACAGGGAAAAGGGGGTGAAACGTGAATTTAAACCTCTAAACGCAAAAATAATCTCTTCCGATTGCTGTCGACGATGAACGTTGGGCGACGGAGTCCACGGGGGTGTAACGAGAGCGACACGGCGACATGGCAACGTGGCGTGACACGGTTGTCCGTGTGCCCAGACCGCAGGCGAGGAGGGTGGCGAGGCTCGGGAGGGGAAGCCGGGCTCCCCGCTAGGGACCCAGGCCCCGCCGTGGATCCCCGACGCCCGGGTGCCGCTCTGCATGATCTGCCTCTCCAGCTTCTCCCTGACGTGGCGGCGCTACCACTGCCGCGCGTGCGGGAAGGTTGGTCCGTTGCGCGCACGCACGATGGTTTTCTCGGTTCCGTGTGCAGTCTGTTCTTCCGGAATGCGTGTTGTTGTTGTTGTTTCCATAACGCAAATTGGATATATAACGCGATGGGCGTGTGAGGGAACGCCACATCTTTTTATATAACGCGGATGCGAATTGGATATAACGCGATCGAGCGAACGCAACTGCGTCGCAGCGCGAGGAGGAATAAGCGGTTGTGCGGCTGCCTCCGCGTAGCATCAACATCATCGTCACACGAGGAATTGCGATGCTGCTGCATGCTTCTAGATGCCTCAATCTTTGTTCGGCCTGCTTACCCATCTCACGTGTTATCGCAGACCGTGCTTTACCATACATTATATATTATTTATTATAACGGGATTTTTCCATGAGATGGTGTTCTTCTACCGCGTTATAGGAGAACACACGGTATCTGTATATACTGCTTATTTGGTATTTATATGTCTCTGTCGGGGCCGTGATTGAGGGTCTCGGAGGGTGATGTTGCTGATGTTGTTGAGGTTGCGAGTGTACACACCCGTCGTGTATTGTGTAATGTTATGGAGATTATTTGGATTATTTGGCTGATAGAAATGTTTCAGAGGCAGAGCGAGCAGCTCCCAATTGAAAGACAGCAAGTTGAAGTTCACGTTTGGGGGGTTGACTCGACCCATCATCCCACCAGGGTCGATCAATAAGTGACCCTTAGTGGGGAAGTCAACAGTCGCTGTCCTATTGATCGACTCGATTCCGACCTAAGAATATGGAATGTCCACTCTTGGCTCAGGGTGGTGAACAGGAGGTGGGCTTTCGTGACTGCAGGGATTTATATTCTTGGTTCTTTCGGTAAAGTTACGTAAAAGGGTAATAATAAAATAAAATTAACACAATCAAATAAAATTCTCACGACATTTCGTCCACAACGCAAGCAGCCGTCCTCAGGTGAAGAACAGAGCTGTCGGAAAGACAGCGTCCTTCTACGTGACTTTACCGAAAGAACCAAGAATATAGTACTAGTAGGTAGTACGAGTAGGTACTCCTACTTCAGGTGGGATGTTGGATCATAACGTAGTAGAGAGGATACAGAGTAACCCATTCCGCATCTCTACTGCGCAACTCTCGGCGTGGATTAATTAGTGTATGTTATTGATGTAATAAGATATATTACCTTCTATATTATACTGTATGTATTATTAGTAGTTGTCGATAATATACACACCGTTTGTATTTGTCGCCATGAATACGGTATGTCAGGGAGAAAAACAATGTTCGTAGAGTACACATGAAAGATACTGTAGCCAGTCTGGGACGCTGATGCTCGGGCGCCTCACGACATCTGGCCCTGAATGTTCTCCGTGGAATTAAACAAAAACAACAACAACAACACGGGCTTCAGGCTTAAGTTCTTAAATCCCGAGTACGCTATGGCGAGGCACACGGTGCGTTAAAACGGGACTGGGTGTCAATACGTTGAGTACGTTGCAGCGAAAGTACGTACAGCGTTGTGTTACTTATTGATGAGTGGGCTCGAAGCACGGCCCGGTATCCTTAGTCACGGTCGGTGAGCGGGCGTCTCCTCTCTCGCCTGCGGGATTCGTTGCGCGCGTTGGCTCCCCCAGTGCGGCGCAGATCGACCTAAGTGGTGCGACGCCATAGTAGCGCATCCACGTGCCAGCCACGTGGCAGCCACGTGCCAGTCACGTGGCAGCCACGTGCCAGTCACGTGGCAGCCACGTGCCAGTAACGTGGCAGCCACGTGCCAGTCATGCGCCAGCAGTGAGCCAGGGCTGGCGGCTTTGGCGAACGACAGCGCCGTCGCGGCGACACCATATTTACCCCCTCCGTGTAAGATCGAAACAGCGGGAGGATTTCTCTACAATTCTGGATATCGACTGATGATGCGGTTGTTGCTGTAATTACCGGCGAAATGTCACGGCACTCGAATTGTAATTGTAGTTTTGTTTACGTGACAAACCTTACTCGTTAGCTGTGTCGGGTGGTGGCGGGTTTAACGACACATTTGTATATACGCGATTTAACGCAAAAAAACCCCTCTGTTGTGGACAATATTGGTCGTGAAAGCCCTGCTGCTTGGTGTTAAAGTGCCGAACTCTGAAGAAGCGTAGGCACGGTCTGCCCGTAGCTGAAGACAGTCCAGCTCTCTCTCCCCATCAGACGACAACTGCATATCTGTGGATCTATACTACGGTTTACTCCATAGCCTTGTACAGGGAAATTGAGTTTTCAGGTCCATATGACGTACAGCCGTTTAAAAGCGTGCAAAACATTTTTGTTGTCTATTTGTTTGTGTTTCTCCCTCGTGATGGGACTTTGTAGGATGAACGTTGAGATTTATAAGGGCACGGGGTGGCCAACAAGGCCTGCATCGGTCTGTAATGAGGTAGGCACTGATAAGGGGTTGACAGTTATGCAGCTGGACGACGCGTATCTTAACCGTGATGGTCGTCCACGGAACCGCAATTATAGAGCCACTCTTTAGCTCGTGTTGATTACGGCTTGTGACTGGATTGGCAAAGTTCAGTGCAGGAGGCGTTCTCTCCTCTGTGGATCTTCTCCTTCAGTTCACAATCAGAATTTTCATTTATAACCGCAGGAGCGCTATACACGTTCTTTTTCACAGATGTACAGGAGGGGCACGGGCTCAGAACGTTACAACAGCAAACAACACAAAAAAACATGATAGGAGTGCAATGTATAGCAAAGGTAAACAAATCATATTCTTGGTTAAAACATATACAAATAAAAACAAACTATTTTTATCTTACCAGGTGTAGTGGGCTCAAACGGAGACTCAGACGTACTGTTTGGAGGCAACACATTTATTAAAAACAACACCTAACACAACGGGGTAACTGCCCCTTTATTAGATAATAACCTATGGTGGTGATCCACCAGGCTAACGACACGAACTACACTGGGAGTAGCTGCGATGGACGGGACCCAAGCTTGGGTCCAGGTCCCGCATTGGTCTTGTCTTCGGACGTAGGTGTAGAACGTAGGTTCTTGAGGATCACAACAGAAGTCGGTCCCACTGGGAGGCCAGCTTTTATCCCCCGTGGCGGAGCTCGCTCCGCCCCTCGTCACGACCCCCTTCTCGAACCATCGAGGAGGATCTCTCCCGGACACGTGGTCCCCCCAGCCCCTCTTTTGGGGGTCCCCGGGTAGACGCCCCCGGTCACGTGTCCTCCGGGGTCAACCAGAGTGCCATGGCCCCGTGTGACCCCGTTCCCGAAGCGGCACCTCCCCAGCACCCTATCCTGTAGGGGCTGGCACTGCACCCAGCGCAGGGTGCCACTGGTTGCTGTCAGTCCGTGCTCCTCGAGCCCTGTTCGAGCTGGTCCTGCATCCACCTTCGGTGGTGTTGGCGACGTCAGTACATCGCGCGCCGTGCCACTCCCCCGGGCCGGCTTCACACGGTGACATGCAACGACGTCACTACACGGGTAAAGCCCGCTGAGCTATTCGCTTTTTAAGAATCGACCTGGCTATCGCAAATGATCGCATGTCGAAGGGGCTTATCACGTGGAAATGTAGAGCAGCCACATACTCTCGATAATATAGATGCACGTTGATTCTAAATAAGGAGGGGGAAATACCAGAGCGCCCAGAGGGAAAAAAATCCACTGTGACTCTACAGGCTCAATGTTCAACAACGACTCTCTCTACACCCTCACTGTTCAACAACGACTCTCTCTACACCCTCACTGTTCAACAACGACTCTCTCTACACCCTCACTGTTCAACAACGACTCTCTCTACACCCTCACTGTTCAACAACGACTCTCTCTACACCCTCACTCTTCAACAACGGCAAATCTTTAGAGTCTCCTTAAAACAGCTGCCACCGCTGCATCACTTCGGCTGCGCATCTCCTGGAGCTCCTCCGCCGTGCATTGCTGCAACGCGTGACCACCGCGACTCCAGATTTATTTCGTTTCTCATCCGATCGTTCCCGTGGTGGTGTCGTTTTGCTTTTTTTTTTTTAACGTTACGACCGTTTCAGGCACTTGAGCGTGAAAGGCGCTACACGAAATAGAGGTTATTTCCTATTTCCGTTGTGATTTTGTGCGCGGCGATGGGAGACCTGGCCAGTGTAATTGCACCTCCGCAGATCGGCCGTCAATCTATTGATCCTTCCCCTCTTTCAGAGACAAAGCTAGTTTGCGTTTCGTTTGCGGCTCTTGTTGGATGCCTGGCGTGGCGCAGCTGATCGCCACAACGAGCACCTGGATTAGGCGATTGTCTCCGGCACATTATGGGCCGACCTCAAGGTCTTTTTCTGACAGGGTTCTCGGTGTTTGAGAAGTTAGACTCCTGTCGGAGAGGCCAAGTTAAATTCAATTAACAAAAACGTCTGAATAAGAAACATTATGCGAAGCAACCACAGCAACTCAACGCATGATCATACTCTAATAATGTTCAACGGTATACTCACGATACAACAGCATCTCAGCGGTGCTGCCCGGCGTCTCTGACCTCTGGCGCCACTGAAGTCACCTCCATGGGTCAGACTTCTGAGAATGACCCCCACAAAGTTATGGCACGAACGCTTCACCGCGGGGAGCGTTTATCACCACAAACACCACAGGGAATCACTCGTGACCACAAACACCGCAGGGAATCACTCGTAATCACAAACACCGCAGGAAATCACTCGTGACCACAAACACCACAGGGAATCACTCGTGACCACAAACACCACAGACAATCACTCGTGACCACAAACACCGCAGGGAATCACTCGTGACCACAAACACCGCATGGAATCACTCGTAACCACAAACACCACAGGGAAATCACTCGTGACCACAAACACCGCAGGGAATCACTCGTAAGCACAAACACCACAGGGAATCACTCGTGACCACAAACACCGCAGGGAATCACTCGTGACCACAAACACCGCAGGGAATCACTCGTAACCACAAACACCGCAGTAAATCACTCGTGACCACAAACACCACAGGGAATCACTCGTGACCACAAACACCACAGACAATCACTCGTGACCACAAACACCGCAGGGAATCACTCGTGACCACAAACACCGCAGGGAATCACTCGAAACCACAAACACCACAGGGAATCACTCGTGACCACAAACACCGCAGGGAATCACTCGTAAGCACAAACACCACAGGGAATCACTCGTGACCACAAACACTGCAGGGAATCACTCGTGACCACAAACACCACAGGGAATCACTCGTAACCACAAACACCGCAGGGAATCACTCGTGACCACAAACACCACAGGGAATCACTCGTAACCACAAACACCGCAGGAACTCACTCGGGCGGCGGACGTGTGCGTGGTGTGGGCTAGCGAGCGGCGCCGCGAGTGTGCGTGACCTATGAGCCCGGCCACCCGAGTTCGATTCCCGCTCATGGGGAGCATCCGTGACAATAATTTGAACCGGATCCTCCGGCTCCTCTCCTAGGTCGACTCAGCCTCAAATGAGCACCTGGTGCGGCGTGTAAACATCGCCACAGGGGAGACAAAGGCGGTGGGGCGTGGTGCTGGCCGCCCACCCCCTCGTGTGCCGTGCCGGCTTTCATTGGTGCTCGTTAACGACACTTGCCCCAACAGTCTGTGAAGGCTACACGGGGGATGGTTGTCTTTGTGCGTGCTCCCCACAGATCGTGTGCCGCGCATGCTCCGCTCACAAGTTCCCACTCAAGCACCTCCGGGACAAGCCGGCCAAGGTGTGCGACCCGTGCTACAGCTCGCTGCACGGCGCCTGTGAGTACAGCCCCAGAGTCACGGACTGCCACGCTGCACTACCGCGTGCTGCCGTGCACTACCACACACTACCACACACTACCGCGTGTTGCCGTGCACTACCACACACTACCACACACTACCACGCACTACCGCGCACTACCGCGCGCTGCCGTGCACTACCACACACTACCGCGCGCTGCCGTGCACTACCACACACTACCACACACTACCGCACGCTGCCGTGCACTACCACACACTACCGCACGCTGCCGTGCACAACCACACACTACCACACACTACCGCACATTGCCGTGCACTACCATGGATTACCGCACATTGTCGTGCACTACCACACACTACCGCGCACTACCACACACTACCGCGCACTACCACACACTACCGCGTGCTGCCGTGCACTACCACATACTACCACGCGCTGCCGTGCACTACCACACACTACCACACGCTGCCGTGCACTACCATGGATTACCGCGCATTACCGTGTACTACCACGCACTACCACACACTACTGCGTGCTGCCGTGCACTACCACACACTACTGCGTGCTGCCGTGCACTACCACACATTACCACACACTACCGCGTGCTGCCGTGCACTACCACACACTACCACACACTACCGCGTGCTGCCGTGCACTACCACACACTACCACACACTACCGCGCGCTGCCGTGCACTACCACACACTACCACACACTACCACACACTACCGCACGCTGCCGTGCACTACCACACACTACCACACACTACCGCGCGCTGCCGTGCACTACCACACACTACCGCATGATGCCGTGCACTACCGCGTGCTGTCGTGCACTGCCGTGTGGATCACCAAATATCTGAAACAGATCGGAAATGTTTAAATTCAAACCTCATCCCTACGAGGCATGTAGCATGTCAGAACCATTCAGTATTATTGGTCCAAAATCATGATGCCATCCTGGCAAAAGCCTTAACAGACTGTCGGGGCAAGCGCTGTTAGCGAGTAGCACCTGTGAAGGCCGACATGGCATACTAGGGGGTGGGTGGCCAGCACCACGCCCGACCGCCTTTGTCTCCCCAGTGGCGATATTTACACACCGCACCAGGTACTCATTTGATGCTTCGTCAGTTCAGATAATCGTCACTGGTGTTGGCCGTCAGCTGGAATCGAACTCGGGGTGCCAAGTTCGTAGCGCAGCGCGCTTTACCGCTACACTACCGCCACAACCAACACTGCCGCCGCACATCGCCAAAGCCCTCTGCCCTACCATCAAATTCCGCAGCTGCTGCAGAGGAGATAAGCAGGGATATCTCCGAGGGCTGCCCTGAGAGTCTCCCACCGTCTGCTCTGAGGTCTTCTTTTCCTATGGGTGGCCGGGCTCGTCTCATCGCCCCCGCCCGGTGCAGCCGTTTTTGCCGGATAACGTGGGCACGCCGCTTGCACGCCCGTGCCCTCTACCGGACTTCCGCACTGCTCCCTCTGTCTCGGTCACAACGTTCCCCAACCTCCATCTCGGACGCCCCCGGGGGCTCAGATGCCAGCAACTTGTTTTCGGGCTGCTTTGTAGTCGTGAGCCATGTGCGTGTAACATCGCGAGCTCAGCGCACGCGCTCGCTCGCGCGCGGGTTCAACGAGCGATTCCCACACTCACGTGCGCGTCCCCCCCCCACCCCACGTGACGTTTCTTTGCAGCGGAGATTGTCTCGCCGAGCGTCCCCTCTCCACGCCCCCCTGAGCGTCGCCACAAGGACCGGCCGCAGCACGGCCCGCGAAAGGTGAGCGACCGCTCCGCCGCTTGCCCTCGTCCACCCGCTCCCTTTGCCAGGCATCCTCATCCCGGTGGCGCGGGGGTGTTGCGAGCGGTGCGGGCGATGCTGTCACCGGCGTTTCAACTCGGAAGTGGTGGAAATAACGCTACCTGAAATAACGCTACTCGAAATAACGCGATACGAAATAACACGACTCAAAATAATGTGACTTGAAATAACGCGACTCGAAATAACACGACTCAAAATAACGTGACTCAAAATAACGTGACTTGAAATAACACTACTTGAAATAACGCTTCTTGAAATAACGCTACTTGAAATAACGCTACTTGAAATAACGCGACTCAAAATAACGTGACTTGAAATAACGAGACTTGAAATAACACTACTTGAAATAACACTACTTGAAATAACGCTACTTGAAATAACGCTACTTGAAATAACGCTACTTGAAATAACACTACTTGAAATAACACTACTTGAAATAACGCTACTTGAAATAACGCTACTTGAAATAACGCTACTTGAAATAACACTACTTGAAATAACGCTACTTGAAATAACGCTTCTTGAAATAACGCTACTTGAAATAACGCTTCTTGAAATAACACTACTTGAAATAACGCTTCTTGAAATAACGCTTCTTGAAATAACGCTTCTTGAAATAACGCTACTTGAAATAACGCGACTCAAAATAACGTGACTTGAAATAACGAGACTTGAAATAACGCTACTTGAAATAACACGACTCAAAATAACGTGACTCAAAATAACGTGACTTGAAATAACGCTACTTGAAATAACGCTTCTTGAAATAACGCTACTTGAAATAACGCTTCTTGAAATAACGCTACTTGAAATAACGCTACTTGAAATAACGCTACTTGAAATAACACTACTTGAAATAACGTGACTTGAAATAACGCTACTTGAAATAACGCTACTTGAAATAACGCTACTTGAAATAACGCTACTTGAAATAACGCTACTTGAAATAACGCTACTTGAAATAACGCTACTTGAAATAAGGCTACTTGAAATAACGCTACTTGAAATAATGCTACTTGAAATAACGCTACTCAAAATAACGCTACTTGAAATAACGCTACTTGAAATAAGGCTACTTGAAATAACGCTACTTGAAATAAGGCTACTTGAAATAACGCTACTTGAAATAACGCTACTTGAAATAAGGCTACTTGAAATAACGCTACTTGAAATAACACAACTCGAAATAACGCTACTTGAAATAACGAGACTTGAAATAACGAGACTTGAAATAACGCTACTTGAAATAACGCTACTTGAAATAACGCTACTTGAAATAACGCTACTTGAAATAACGCTACTTGAAATAACGCTACTTGAAATAACGCTACTTGAAATAACGTGACTTGAAATAATGCTACTTGAAATAACGCTACTTGAAATAACGTTACCTGAAATAACGCTACTTGAAATAACGCTACTTGAAATAACGCGACTCGTTCGCATTGCCCCGCGGCGTTTGTGTGCGAGTTGAGCCGCCGTGTTCCGAACTGGGTATTAATTTTCTGTGCAGTGGCTACGGCTGGCGTTGTCGCAGTTGAGCCCATTCCTACGTAAATAAAGTAGTCCCTCGGTTTACAGTGCGGTTGGTAAACGTTTTTTTGCGGTTAATGTTTCGCCTCCCATAGGACTCCCATGGTTTGGACTGACATTACAAATGTTGACGTGACAGTAAGGTGCTGACGTTATTCACGCGGGCGCCAATTTCAGCCAATCCGAGCGGTCGTAAGTGGGGCTGAGCGCATGCTCTCGACCAATCAGTGAAGCTCATTTATGAGCGTTCCTCGACATGCTTTCTTTACATTAGAGAGATTCACGCTTTCTGCATGGAATCCCTA